CTTAATAAGAGAACTGAAATTATCCCGTAGTAAGAGGAGGAAAAGATTTGACAAGGAAGACAACTCCAAATAATTTGAAGCATAATGTTCATTAGTGCATGTAATAAACCCTTACACTGAGCACAAAGAAATACATGATTGTGTTGATAGAAAATCCATTTCTCTTGCCCTCACTAAATAAATGGATTGAAGGGATATGTAAAATATATTGACCTCAGGATGTCAAATTATTGGAGTGCCTAGGTGGCTCAGTCGGTTGAGCGGCTGACTCTTGCTTTCAGCTCAGGTCATGATCTTGGTCCTGGGATTGAGCCCCGGGTCAGGCTCCATACTCAGCAGGAAGTCGGCTTGGGGATTCTCTCTCTCCCTCTCCCTCTGCCCTTCCCCCTGCTTGTTCTCTCTCTCTCTCTCAAATACATAAGTAAATCTTTTTTAAAAAGGATGTCAAATTATTAACCTGCCTGTTTTGGATATGTTGTAGGGGAAAAGGGTATTGTTTGGTGCCTCTTTTAAGCCCTTTGACAAAACTGAGAACACCCAATATACCCAGGGGCAGTACAGAACAAAGGCCACAAGGCGTCGCTTTCTGACAACGTCTTGCTTGGCAGTTAATATTCTCACAGAAGGATGGGAGGGGAGGAGAGGGATGTTAACTATATTTTGATGTAATAAACCGAAGTGCATTTATTAGAATACACAGCAATTAATGTATCTAGATCAAAGGAAATTTCCCTAAACTGAAAACTTAAATCTTTTTTTTTTTCTTTTTCTTTTCTTTTCCTCTGGAGCAAAACCAAGCCTGTTGGTATTACTACAGATTAGGAATACTGACGTGAAAATTTTCCATCATTACCTCTTGGTCTTCACAAACATTCAGTGGGATGTCCTGGAGATGGATTATGATCCCTGTATTACAGATGAAGAAACCAAAGCCCAGGAAGGTTGTAATCGGCCAGTGGAAATTCCAGTGGCCAGGTTTCCTGACACCTACCACCCCAACTGGGAACTGTATGTCCTGCCCCTCCCCACATCCTTCAGAGTGGAGGTGCTTGGGAGTACGGTGTGACTATTTTGCTTTTTGGAAATTAGTGTAAATATTTTAGACGAAAGTGTCTGATATGAATTTGTATTTGTTTATGTTTATAAAAGAAGGCTTCAGGGAGTTTTCATGGGTGCTCTAAGCCACTTTGGGCTGTGTCTTGGATGGGTTTCCAAGGAAGCTCATTTTGTTGTTAGGGATGTGTGTTTGTTGCTGGGGCTGCCAAGCAAAGTACAGATTGGGTGGTTTAAACAAGAGAAATTTATTTTCTCACAATTCTGGAGGCTAGAAATCCAAGATCAAGGAGTCGACAGAGCTGATTTCAGCTGAGGCCTGCCTCCTTTGTTTGTAGACAGATCTTCTCTTCTTATAAGTCAGATTGGAACCTCATTTTACATTAATTATATCATTTACATTAATTACGTCTTTAAGGGCCCTATCTTCAAAAATAGTCACATTCTGTGGTACTGGGGGAGGGGGCCGTTAGGGCTTCAACATATGAATTTAGAGGAGACACAATTCAATCTGTAACAAGGTGGAAAAGTTGAGAGACCTGCATTACCCCTTCCAACTCTTTACTACCACAGTGAGAGTGTTCTAGACTGTGTCCTTAATCTACAACTCCCAAGAGTTGGATGTTATGTATTTCTTTCTCTAAGAAAGCTCCTTAGCTTAATCTGCTTTTTGTATGTGACTCTCTTGATTGTTTCCTATAGGAGTAGAGATTGGAGAAAAGGTTTATGATCTCCATTCTTTTACTTTTTTCTTTAATGCTCTCCACAATAAGTATAGTCACCATCTGTCACCATACAAAGTTATCACAACACTATTGATGATATTCCCCTTGCTGGACTTTTCATCCCCGTGACTTCTTTATTTTATACCCAGAGGTCTGTATGATCCCCATTCTTGAATTAAGGAATTATATTCAACTTTGGAGCAACTTAAAAACAGGAACAGATGTGTACTTATGAGTACATTTTTCTAAAGATTTAAATTATATTTTTTAAACTGTGGAAAGTATAGAAAAGCAAATAGAAGAAAATGAAAATTATTCTTCATCTTACCTCCTAGAGAAAATGCTACCAACATTATGCATCATCTTTCCAATCTTTTATACACATACATATGTAATACATATATAAATACATATTTAAATTCTATGTGCTGTTTGTTTTTAAGATTTTATTTATTTGTCAGAGAGAGAGAGAGCGTGCGCATGCATGAGCAAGGGAAGTGGCAGGCAGAAAGAGAAGCAGGCTCCCCACTGAGCAAGAAGCCCAGTGCAGGACTCGATCCCAGAACCCTGGAATCATGAACTGAGCCAAAGGCAGACATTTAACCGACTGAACCACCCAGGCGTCCCTGGGTGCTGTTTTTTGATGTGTTCATAAAGGTCTTTCTTCCCTTGATCCAAGATTATATAAATATTAGCCTTTACTTTCTTTGAGTATTTTATGGTTTCATTTAATTTTTTTTATCATTTTAACCATTTTTAAGTGGCAATTCAGTGCCATCAAGCACATTCATAGTATTCTACAACCATCACCACTATACATTTCTAGAAGTTTTTCATCATCTCAAACAAACTCTGTACCCATTAAATAGTAATTCCTCATCTCTCCCTCCTCCAACCCCTAGTAATTTCTATCACACTTTCTCATAAAGAAATTTGCCTATTCTAGGTAATTCATGTAAGTGGAACTATACAATATTTGTCCTTTTGGGTCTTGTCTATTTTGCTTAGCAGAAATTTTCAAAGTTCATCCATGTTATAGCATCTGTCAGAATTTTGTTCCTATTTAAGGCTGAGTAACACTCCATTTGATTGTATATTATGGTTTCATTTTTATGCATACTTTTCTAATCTACATCAATACTATTTTGATATAACGTATTAGGTGAATATCTAAACTAACTTATTAAATATTTCATCATGTCCCCCACTGATTTGAAATTCTAACTTCCTCTTACACTCCAATACCATGAATTCTCAATAGGGACATCACCCCCAAGGGTTTGAAAATTGGCTCTTGGGGTACAAAAGAAAATCCTACTCTTTTTTATGTATAAAGCACAGACAAACATGCAGTACATAAAGAGATACATATTGTATCTGTGGTAAAATTTTATGGGAGGTGGTGATTAGGGGAAAAGTCTGAAAAGTTTCCTTTAGGGATAATAATGGTAAAAAGGGTTGAGAAACCCTGCCCTGTACTACATTCCTACACTTATTTATATGTTTTTCTGAATTTACTCCATTATGTGCCTGTCCCTGTACTAGAAAACACTAAATTCTTTTGTTCTTATCATTGTTCATTTCCTTCCTAGAAAGTATGAGAATCTGAGGTCACCATGATCATTTACTTGTTTACCTGTCAATGGCTTGTCTCCTTGGACTAGAATGACAGCCCAGTGGGGTCTGAGGGTTGTCCTGTTCATCACTGTGGCCCTGCATTTTAAATGGTGCCTGGCAGAAGGCGCCCACGAAATACTTTTTGGTTGAATTAAAAATCTGAATATCTAGTAGGCCAAATCCTTTTTAATTGCTCTTTTTTCTTCAAAAATTTGGCTACCCTCACCTGTTCACTCTTGGAAATGAACTTCTAAAAGACTGTAAAAAATCCTATCAACTGTGCCCCCACACCCGCCAGAAGGTGGAGCTTCTTGTGGTGGAGACTCAGTGACTCTATTCTGTTGAGGTAACTTTATAGCCATGAAACCTGGCAGAAACCACCTCGACTAAGTGATGGAGGTACCATCACCATATGTATATCACATAGCTGGATATTATGAGAGGGGCACTTCCCCTCTGTGGTAGTCTCCCCCAAAACCTATCACCCCAGTCTATCATGAGAAAACACCAGACAACCCCAAATTCACAGTATTCTACAAAATAGCTGACCCAGTACCCTTCAAAAATGTCAGGGTCATAAAAACAACAACAACAAGGAAAAGCTGAAATATGTCATAGTTCGGAGGAGACTAAGGGAACATGATGACCAAATGTTGAATCCTGGATTAGATCCTGGAAAATTAGTGGGAAAACTCTTGAGTTTTTCAGTCGTAGGTCGTATATTTGAAATTATTATAATTATTCTTTCAAATATCTAATATTTAGCTAGAAAAATCTAGAACAGGATGTGCTATTTGTTTTATTAAGAAACTGTGAAACATTGTGTGCCAACTATATTTCCATAATAGACATTTTTAAACTTCAGAAATAGATGTTGAATTTGATCACGTACCTTTTTAGAAAATATTAAAATGCTTGTTTTTGCGCTTCAGATGTAATTTTTTTCTAGTTATTAAAATACCCCTGCATCTCTAAAATAACTCCTTCTAGATGTACTATATAATTCTTTGTAAAACACTAGACCTGGTTTGCAAATATATTACTTAGTTTTTCAGCATCATCACTTAGCAGCAGCCGGGCCTGGGCAGATGCACGGAGTCCGCGGCGGTCAGCGAAGAGTCACCAAGGTGCTAAACAAACGCCGGACAGAAGCCTGCGGGAGGGGCCCCAGACTCGTGAGCGCCCAGAGCTGCGCCGGAAGTGGCGTCATCGAGCCGGCGTCCCTCTCAGCCAATGGCCGCGGAATGCGCCGTCCGATGGTAACCCTCACCGCACCTGCGGGTAAAGGCGGACGCAAGAAAGACCGTCCTTCTACGTTATTACGCGAGTTACCAAGGCAGCTTAGTTAGGGACAAGTGTCTCTTCCCGCTTCTCTGCCGCCAGTTAACCTAGCTCAATGACACCACGCCTTCAACCTGAGGGCCCCCTCACGCGCCGCAGCTACCCTCACTAACGATGGCTGACAGGCGTGGAGTAAAAGCCGGAAGCAGGCGGGATGGGCGGTGCTGGCAGAGGGCGTGCCGAAGGCGTGGCCTGGCTGCAGTGAGACCGGGAGGGGCGTGGCCAGCCGCCCCACCTGGGCTTTCAGTCAAAGGCGCACTTAACCGCCGCGGTCCGCGTTCTAGCCGTCTCCGGAGGGCGGGTCGCTACTGGCCCCACCCCCGCCCACATTTCTTCCTCTTGGGAAGCACCCCCTGAGTCTCCGAGATTGGGCCGGAGCTGGCTGCTGGCTTCCAGAACGTCGGCGGTCTCTAGCGGCGATGGAGGGCGCCCACGAGAACCCCGCAGAGTCTAGCTCCTCCGTCCCCAGGTCCGAAGAGCCTGCCGGCTCGGCCGGAGGCCCCGAGCTGTTGCCTGCAGAGGAGTCGGAGGGCTGCGCCCGTCCCTTGGAGGCGGCCCCCAAGAAACTCTGTGGCTATCTAAGTAAATTTGGCGGCAAAGGGCCCATTCGGGGCTGGAAATCCCGCTGGTTCTTCTACGACGAGAAGAAATGTCACCTGTATTATTCGCGGACCGCGCAGGATGCCAGTCCCTTGGACAGCATCGACCTCTCCAGTGCGGTCTTTGACTGCAAGGCGGACGCCGAGGAGGGGACTTTTGAAATCAAGACTCCCAGCCGGATTATTACTCTGAAGGTAAATGGAGCAGTTTTTTAATTTTTCAGCCAGGGTGAGTTCCCAGGGCACGGCTGGGCACGTGTGGGTGGTCACAGTAAATTTACTGGAACAAGGATCACAGGCTCTGATCTCCCCCAGTGAACCCTGGGTGGCCAGGGTTTAGTGCATTCCAAAACGCAGTCACACCCATTTCCTCATTGGGCTCCCACGACAAAAGCTGGGATGATGTACCCATATTAGAATCAAGAAACAGAGTCTTGGAGAGGTGAAGTGACCAGCCAGAGGTCATGCATCTCCAGAGTGGTGTAGCCCACACTTGAAATCCCTGAGTCTTTCTACCTCTCAGTACTGTATCAAAACTTACTTTTTGGTGTGCCTTAACAATGCAATTACCTTAACTTTCTTACTTGGGGCTGAAATATAGTCAAAATATGAATTGTGCAATCCTCTCGTGGCCCGGATTCTGAATCACTTTTCTTGACATTTTGGCCAAGAGGAGTGAATGCTTAGCAAACATTGGCGGGGATTGGGAGATAAAATACTTTGGTTTTTCAGATCAGCCTAGAATGTTCATAGAGGTGTGTCTTAACGTGTTTTACCATCAGTAGGTTTTGTTTTATTATCACCTTTAACTGAGAAGGCCTGAAACAGTGGAAAGGCCATGTGCTTTGAACTCAGACAGGCTTGGATTCAAATTCTACATCAGCTGCTTACTAGCTGTGTCACCCTGGGCAAATTACTTAACCTCTTAGAATCTAAGTAGTTTGTGAGGTTTAAAACAAGGTGTGTAAGCATCTGGCACCTACAAATTGTTGAATTAATCCCAGCATCTAGATACAGCCTAGCACCTAGTGGGTGCTCAATAAATTCCTATTTAATGAACCCACATGGTGATAGAACCAAGGTCATAATGTTCATGTCAAGAGTGGAAAGACAGGGCGCCTGGGTGGCTCAGTTGGTTGGGCGACTGCCTTCGGCTCAGGTCATGATCCTGGAGTCCCTGGATCGAGTCCCGCATCGGGCTCCCTGCTCGGCGGGGGGTCTGCTTCTCCCTCTGACCCTCCCCCCTCTCGTGTGCTCTCTCTCATTCTCTCTCTCTCTCAAATAAATAAATAGAATCTTTAAAAAAAAAAAAAAAGAGTGGAGGGGCGCCTGTGTGGCTCAGATGGTTAAGCGTCTGCCTTCAGCTCAGGTCATGATCCCAGGGTCCTGGGATCGAGTCCCGCATCGGGCTCCCTGCTGGGCGGGGAGCCTGCTTCTCCCTCTGCCTCTGCCTCTCTCTCTCTCTCTCTCTCTCTCTCTCTCTCTGACTCTCATGAATAAATAAATAAAAAACATTTAAAAAAAAATAAAAAAATTTTAAAAAAAGAGTGGAAAGACAAATCTGGGCTAAGAGTTCTGGGATTCACACTCATCAGAGAAGACTGTGCCAGGAGACAGCCTCCCCGACCCCACCCCGTCTTCTGCCCCTTCACCCCCACTCCCAGCCAACTGGACATCTGTTGAGCCTCTGGATGTAGCCCATAGTTTCAGTTCCCCTTTAATGGCTGGGCTTGGGTGGTGACCAGGCTGGGAAAATCAGATAAAATAAGGCAAACCTGGAATTCCAGGCCAGGGAAGGCATTTTAGAGGTTATGGGTCATGTGTCCCCTCCCACAGAGGCTGAGTGCTGTCTACTGGATCTCCAACACATGTCTTTTACTGTTCCCTTGATCTGTTTGTGCCTGGCTCTGTGCTAAGCACTGGGGCATGGAGCCAAATCATACCTGCCCCCAGGTTCTCCAACAGCTTACTGCGGGGATAAGGGAACTGAGGGAGACTGGCACACACAGTGAAATGTTCTGTAGATACGCTAGGTCTGTACCAGCAAAGTGTGGTTCTACTGAGCGGAAGGGTCCACCCAGGAGGGAAGCACAGAGGAGGAGATGACATCTGAGGCCTGAAAAAGGGATTTGGTTTTCTACGAGCAGACAAGAGGGAGAAGGGTATTCCTGGCCACGAGAGCCCCATGGGCAAAGACAGGAAACATGATACAGCCCAGAGTGTCCTGGCCAATCACAGGAGCCTGGGGTACAGAGGGGCCCAAAAGTTGGAGTGGGAGAGCAGGGGCCGCAGCATAGGGCATTTGTGAGTTAGGCCTGGGAGCTTGGACTTTGTCCTGTGGGCTGTGGGAAATTGTCAAAGAGCTTTAAGCAAGGAAGCTCTGTGAGATTAAAATGTTTAGAAGGCTCAATGTGGCTGTGGGATAGAGAAAAACTTAGAATGCAAGGGAGGAGTCAGGGGTGGCTGACTGTCCAGCTGGGCCAGTCACGACTGAGGGAGGCCGTAGGATACCCACCCAGTAGACTCTTAAGTTCCAAGAGGATGGGACCATGACACGTACAGTAGGTGCTTAATATACACCTGTCCAGTGAATTAATAAAATGGGGCATTTGGATATGGGCTGGAGCTTGTTAGCACAAGGTCATGGTGAAGGCCTGGGAGGGGCTGAGGGTCTCTCAGGGAGAGTGTATAGAATGAGAAGACTGGTGGGCAACATTTTATTTTATCTTACGTGGTACCTCTCTGACAGGCCTAGGGCCTCTTTCATGGAGCCCCCTGGCCTCGTGCACACCTTACCTGTGGACCACTCAGAAGGGGGAGCCTGCCCTGGTTGCCCCATAGCCTGCCGCCTGCCGCTGTTCTCACATGGCCTTGTAGGCAGCTCTGTGAGGCTTACCATCCACTCCCAGCCAGCTGCCTGGCTTCCTTGGCCCAGCTGATCCCAGGCCTTCTCTAGGTAAGCCACAGTCTGGGCCGTAAATGACCACAAAGCTCTGGTCCAAAGGGGGAGATCCACGTTCTGGGACCAGCTCCGCCACCACCTGCCTGAGCAACTTCAGAGCCTTAGTTCTCCATCTGTAGAAGGGCTGGTCCCTCCTGGAGGATCCAGCAACAGAATAGATGGGAAAGTAGGTATTTGGATCATCCAGGGAGACTAATGACCATCATCAACCATTGCCTTGTTTGGGGTACCTGAAGGGTGCCACTGTGTCGTTACTGTGTGCATATGGCTTTCCAGTCCCCAGTCATATCCATGATTTTGGTGCGTCCCCAAAACAGAGGAGGGTTTCTCTCCATTCCATAAAAAGTCAGTCTTTTAGGTTTCCTGGACCCAATTCCAACGTGGGACATGGAGGGTCCCCATACCACTGCCCCCCCACAACACCAAGCAGTTCTCTCTCTCTTTCTCTAGGTAGGCTCCATGCTCAATGTAGGGCTCAAACTCACAACTCTGAGATCAAGAGTTGTGTGCTCTACCAACTGAGCCAGTCAGGCACCCCCAACTCAATTCTAACACTGTCTACCCAGAGACAGCCTCAGATTCCACAGGTTGAGGGGCTTAGGCCTATAAGACTTTTCCCACACCTGGCTTCAGATGCCAGTGGCAAACTCCAGACTGTTACTTGTGTGTCTGACAACCGGCTACAGATTGGAGTTTCCACTGACCTCCTCCTTAAGTTCCATTAGTCTGCTAGAGCAGCTCCCAGAACTCAGGGAAACACTTACATTCACCAGTTTATTAAAGGATGTGAGAAAGGATACCAGTCAACAGGCTGATGAAGAGATGCACAGGGCAAGGTCTGGGGAAGGGCAGGAGTGTTCACACCCTCTCCGGGTACGCCACTCTCCCCACATTGCCATGTTCACCAGCCCAGAAGCTCTCCAAACCCAGTCCTTTGGGTTTTTAGGGAGGCTTCATTACATAGTTATGTTGACTAAGTCGTTGGCCATTCTCCCATTCAGCCTCCAGCCCCTCTCCCCTCCTGGGAGGGAGGCGGATGGGACTGAAAGTTCCAAGCCTAATCACATGATTGATTCTCCTGGCACCCAGCACCCCCATCATTAGGTTACCTAAGGGCTTTCTAAGAGTTACTGTATTAAAACAACAAAAGTCATCTTTATCGCCCTTATCCCAGGAAATTCTAAGGGATTTAGGAGCTGTGAGCCAGAAACCATGGACAAAGATCAAATACATATGAAAAATATGCTTTTGGTCATTTGAATGACCAGATATACGTTTCTTATAAATCACCATATCACAGTCAGTTAAGACATTGAGATGTCGCAAAGGGAGATGGTAATGGTGCCAGCCCCCCCCCCCACCAGCCCAGACTTTCAAAGTTCTCTCCCTATCTCTTACCGCCCCCAAAGGCCCTTGTCCAGGGACCCCGTTTTGAGCACCTGCAGTGCGTCAGCTACTGTGCTGAACGCTTCACCTTCCTTACCTCATGGCTGTCGCCGTCCTAGCACAGATGAGGAAACTGAGCCCCAGAAAGGTTAAGGGACCTCAGGGTTTGGGACCGGTCCTGATTCTCTTCTGTGGCCAAGAAGCGGGTGGTGTTTCAGAGGTGGGCACCCATCGGCCGTGACAGTTTGTTTTTTTTTTTTTTTCTGGGAGGGAGAGAATTACCAAGCCTCCTGGGACCTTCCCGCGTCGCAGACCTAGTGCCACGTGAGGGCACAGGGCCATACCGATTAACCCTTGTGCTTCTCAGGCTGCCACCAAGCAAGTGATGCTGTATTGGCTGCAGCAGCTGCAGATGAAGCGCTGGGAGTTCCACAGCAGCCCGCCTGCGCCTCCCGCCGCCCCCGATGCCGCCCTGGCTGCCAACGGGCCCGCCCTGCGCCTCGAGCTAGGTACCCAGTGGGTTCGCCTCCTGCCCGCACCCCCAGGGCTCGTGGTGACCAAGCCTTGCCCCTCCTGCTGGGAGTGAGCGGGGGGAGCCTCTGCTAAAGAAGCAAAGAGCCGGGGGGGTGAGTCAGGATCAGTTAGGACACAGTGTAGCCTCGAGGGCAGGAATAGGGGCTCCGAGGCCAGGACGTCTGGCTTCAAATCCTAATCCTGTGCGCTTAGTCTTTCTGAGCTTCAGTTTCCTTCCGTATAAAATGAGCTTCATAAGCCATACCCACTTCTTAGGGTTATTATGAGAACTCAGTGAATCCATGCACCTGGAGTGGTTGAAACAAGGCCTGCACGTTGTCCGAGCTCAGGAAACGGCAGCTGCTAGTTCGATGACTGTTGCGGGAGGTTCTGGAGAGACTCGCACAGGGTTGCTGTGAGGAAGGTTAGTGAGAAATGCAGCTATTGTTGCTGTTCTGACACGTAGGCTTTTGTGCTGCGAGTTGGGTAGAGCAGTGGTTTTATCCGTAGTGGTCCCGTAAGCAGAATCCTTCACCCCCACGTGGGCCGCAAAGGAAGTTTCTCGGTCCCAAGTCCTAGGACACCCTCAGCGTGGAGGAGTCCTGGAGATCATACCCTCCCACCCCACGCTGGGGCGTGGCTGGCAGTGTGCTTGGCAGGTTGAGAATCGGGACAGAGCACCCCCGCTGCCCCCGTAAGAGCTTGGAGACTTGTCACAGCTCCGCACTGCGGCGTGGTAACAGGGAGGCCGAAGAGGCCAGGGCACGACTTGTGGCCAGGCACCTCTAGATCTCTGTACCTGGGTGTTCTACCTGTGCCGGACCGAGCTCATCTGCCCTTGACCCTCTGCTCCCCCAGTTTCCTTCCCCCCTTGAAATGGCCCTTCACTTACCCGGTTGCTGCCGAACAGGGCGCCGCCCTCCCCCCTTGCCCCTTCGGCAGTCTCGGTGGTGAGCCAAGCCGGTCTGTCACCGTGCTGGCCGTGCCTGCCCTCCGGCCCCTGCTCACTGCCAGTGCCCCGGGTCAGGCCCCAGCTCCTAGCGGGAAAGCCCCAGCAGCCTCCTCGGCCCTGGCCCGTGTCCCGTGTCGTGGCAGCCTGCCAACTCGGACCCATCCTCCCCACTGCGGCCCGAGTGGGCTTTCTGAAATGAGTGCTGGAGCCCCGTCCCCTCGCAAGGCCCCCTACCACGTCCCAGGCCCAGCTTTTCAGCACAATGCTCAGGGCTCGTCCTCTCTTGTCTCACCTCTGCCTGCTCCCCCCAATGCCCACCTCATGCCGTGAGCTTCAGCAGCACCAGAAGCGTGTCTGCCTGGCAAATTCCTGCTTGTTCTTTATAGCCACGCTCCAGTGTTGCCTCCTGCTCTTGCCAGCCTCCCCTTGGAAGCCCCCCAGCACTCTGCCAGCTGGACTCTGTATGAGCCCTCAACACTTTGTTCACATGGTTCTAACAAGGCCTGTCACGTTGTGTTCTCATTATAGCATCCTTGTCAGTCTCTGCCCCCAGGGGCGGGGGCCATGTCTTTGTCACTTATGTCCCTGGTACCGGGTGCCCTGCCTGGTACATTGGATATTTGTGAGCGAATGCATTGGATTTTATTATTAAATGAGGAAGGGAACGTAAAACCCTTAGCCTAATGCCAGGCACATAGTAATTGCTCAATGCATAGTAGCTGTCCTAATAAGGTGGTTGTTACATGTGTACACGTACATAATAACGGCTGTTGTTTAGTGTTAATAATAATTATCAGTCATTTCCTCCAAGAACCTTCTGGGTGTTTCATGCTTGTAAGGGCTTTCTTTGGGGAAGGATTTGTTTGTGCCTCTGTACTTCCATTCCACCCTCTAGTCCCCATCTGCCAGAGAGCCAGACACCCTGGCTGAGTGCAGAACTGCAGCCTGAGTGAGCACAGTTGCTGGAGATCAGCCTCAAATTAGAAGCAACGAGACACTCTCCTGATAACCGAATTCTTGTATGTCTGGAACTAAAATGGCTTTGGGATCCCACAGGTTCTTCTACTGTGCTGAACTCTTTCCAAGCTCTTGAATTCTGTGGCTTTGGTTTAGCACACCTAGTGGGCCTCTTCTGGGCCAGCCCCTGCTGGGGACATGGCGGGGAGGACGTTGTCCAAGGAGGACACTGGTGGGAGACGCAGGAAGCTGGGATGTGGGCCTCTCCTGAAGCCTTTCTCCTCCCACGGCAAGCCTTCACCCTCCCCGACCAGGTCCCTGCAAAACCTTCCCCAGCCCACCCAGAAAGACGTTTCTGGACTTGTGAGCAAGCTGGGAGGCCCTGGATTAGCTGTCTGGAGCAGGTTGCCCCACCTCCAGTCTCCACCCTTCCTGGGAGGAAGCAAAGCCTGCTTCTAGAGCAGTGAAAACCAACTGACTCACATCTGACTTTGAGTCACAGACATTTCATCTTGTAAGAAGTGTCCTATCACTGCTGTTGAGCAATCTGCAAGTCATGTTCGCTTCTCTACAGCTTTTAAACGTTTATACCTTTATTTTATGCTTTACCGAAACATTGGTCTCCACAAGAGCTGAGAAAGATCAAGGGCAAACCAATTTATAATTTATATGTTGCCCAAGTAGGACCCAATTTACATAAAATAGCACTCTTGTAAGTATATATTATCATAAAAATATGCATACCACTTACACTGTCATAACACTTTACACGCATCACGTTATCTAATCCTCACATCAATGTTATAAGGTAGTGTTGTTCCCATCTTACAGAAGAGGGAACTGAGGCCCACAGAGGCCAAGGGAGCTGTTCAAAGTCACAGAGCAAGGAAATGTCAGCACTGAAATTTGAACCCTAGTCTGCAGGCTCACAACCCTCTCCTCGTGCTGAGGAAGCACCTGCGGACAGGGCCCGGCCGGGATGTGACCTGCTGGCCCAGGCCCCTTTCACTGGGCAGTGACTTCCTACTGGTGTTAGAGCAGTGCCTGCAGCTCAGGCACAGGGAGAATTACAAATAAATGCTGCCGAGAATTCCGTGTGTGGTCTGCTCACTGAGGGTATTTCTCCTCACTGAGGGTATGCCCAGACCAGAGCCTTGGGCAATCAGTTCTGTTTCCTGCAGGAAGTGCTGACCTTCACTGTGGCATCACCACCGTAGCTGTCCCTTGAAGACCTCCGTGCACTGGGGGCTGGTGCCTTCCGGGGGCAGCCCCTCCCTTCTTGGAACCGTCTGCCTGTCACAAAGCCTGCTCTGACAAGCCACATAGTTTTAGTGGCAAAGCAAGGAACTGTGAGTGCGCAGCTCGGCTGCCGGCTGTGTGACCCTGGCCACCAGAAGCCTTCTGAGCCACTGTTTCCTCCCTGGTGAATCCAACCAGCAGTGACATTTACCGCCAAGGCTTAGTTGGTGTGACCTCAAAGGAGATTTAGGGCCACAGGTGGAAGTTAAAACAGATGTTGGCAGTTAGGGGAAGTACTTGCCAAGACATTAAAATCTGAGACACATTGTACATGTTTTTGCTCTGAATGAGGGAGAATAAAGATGGTTAAAGTATTAATAAACCAGAAGACCTTAATTATTTTGAAACAACTCAAAGTCTGGGTTAAAGACTACTTTTGAAAGATGCAAGTCCACAGAATGGGGCTTTATGGTTTTCTAAATATGTTCATATCCTTGATCTCTGCAAGAGACAGGGTGGGGAGTATCCTTCCCATTTTAAAAATGTGGAACCTGAGGGTGCCTGGGTGGCTCAGTTGGTTAAGCGACTGCCTTCGGCTCAGGTCATGATCCCGGAGTCCCGGGATCGAGTCCCGCATCGGGCTCCCGGCTCGGCGGGGAGCCTGCTTCTCCCTCTGACCCTATCCCCTCTCATGCTGTTTCTCTCTCTCTCTCTCTCTCTCTCTCTCTCTCTCTCTCTCAAATAAATAAATAAATAAAATCTTAAAAAATAAATAAATAAATAAAAATGTGGAACCTGAGGCTGGAAGAGAAAATGTGATTTCCAGCCTGGTCATAGCACCCTTCCAACAGAACCATGATTTGGCTTCAGGTCTTCCAACTCCACAGCTGTAGGCCAGATTCCTTGGGGCTTCTGTTGAATCCCCCAGAGGGCCCTGTGGGTCCAGCCAGATGAGCTCCCCTCTTAGCACTCCCCTGCCCATTTGTCCTTCCGAGCCTTGTCTCCTCTGGTCCCTCCCAGCATCCTCAGCTCTGGGCCTGGAACCCCTTGCTGCTGCCTGTACTTACACACCCAGAAAGATCCTCCCTCACTCCTTCGGCAGGTCAAAATCCTTTCCTGCCCTCTAGGCCCTGCTCCAGTGCCCTTCCTCCAGGATCATGGAGGATCATGCCTATTCCTTGTGTTCTTAAACATTCTTCATTAGCATCCTTTTAAACGGCTGAATAATATTCTGTTTTCTGAGGGCATCGTGATTTATTTAACCTCTCCCCAGATCTTTACTTCCAGTTTGAGGGAGTTATTTCCAGGTTGAGGCCAGACAGGGCCAGGATGAACCTCTTGGTTCATAAAGTTTTATCTGCATCAGATAACTTTTTTAGGATGGATTCTCAGAGGTAGAAGTATCTGCAGTTCTGCATATTTTAACGGAGTCTTCAGGAAGACTTTCTCAGCAAGATGCATCATTTTCCTGGGAGAACATATGATGAAAAGCCTGCCTCTTTGGCTGCTCTTAACCTACAAGGAAGGCTTGCTCGGGCAGCCCCCGACTCCCACCTAGGAGCTAAGCCTGTAGCACCTCTGTCTAGTGTGTCCAAGTGCAGTGACCCAAGTAGATGACTGCCCTTTTCTTCTTTCCCCAGAGCAAGAGGAGGCAGAGCTGGAGGACTTCCTGTGCCCTGTGCGAACACCCCCCGGGGTTGTGGGTGTGGCGGCTGCCTTGCAGCCCGTGCCTGCCATGCCCTTGGCCCTTCAGAACATTTCCCTCAAGCATCTTGGAACTGAAATACAGTAAGTACGGTGGGACTGAGGGGCTGGCCAGGCTGCACACACCCCCTTCTTTGGAGCTTACAATGATCTGGTGTGATCCCTGCAGGGAGGTGGGCCTGGGGAGAAGGTTAGGGGCTTCATTTTTAATTCATCACCTCATTACTTTAAAATATTACATTTGTTGGGCGCCTGGGTGGCTCAGTCGTTAAGCGTCTGCCTTCGGCTCAGGTCATGATCCCGGAGTCCCGGGATCGAGTCCCGCACCGGGCTCCCTGCTCGGCGAGGAGCCTGCTTCTCCCTCTCCCACTCCCCCTGCTTGTGTTCCTGCTGTTGCTGTCTCTCTCTGTCAAATAAACAAACAAACAAACAAACAAACAAATATTACATTTGTTGTTCTAGCTTTTTTTTTTTTTTAAAGATTTTATTTATTTATTTGACAGAGAGAGACACAGTGAGAGAGGGAACACAGGCAGCGGGAGTGGGAGAGGGAGAAGCAGGCTTCCCGCCGAGCAGGGAGCCCGATGCAGGGCTCGATCCCAGGACCCTGGGATTAGGACCTGAGCCGAAGGCAGACACTTAACGACTGAGCCACCCAGGCGCCCCTTGTTCTAACTTTTTAAAGTAGTGCATATTCTTTTTTTTTTTTTTTTTAAGATTTTATTTATTTGAGGGGCACCTGGGTGGCTCAGTCGTTAAGCGCCTGCCTTCAGCTCAGCTCCTGATCCCAGGGTCCTGGATCGAGCCCCGCACTGGGCTCCCTACTCGGTGGGAAGCCTGCTTCTCCCTCTCCCACTCCCCCCTGCTTGTGTACCTGCTCTCGCTGTGTCTCTCTCTGTCAAATAAATAAATAAAATCTTTTTTTTAAAGATCTTAGTTGAGAGAGAGAGCGAGAGAGAGTGGAGTGAGGGGCAGAGGGAGAAGCAGACTCTCCGCTGAGCAGGGAGCCCAATGCGGGACTTGATCCTGGGACTCCAGGATCATGACCTGAGCCAAGGGCAGATGCTTAACCGACTGAGCCACCCAGGCACCCCAAAGTAGTGCATATTCTTTGTAGGAAATTAGAAACATCTCGAAAGGTACAGATTTTCAATTACCCATGATCCTATCACCCAGAGAGCATTCTTAGCATTTGGTATATCTCTTTCCTCTGCATTTTCTATATACATATATGCATACCTGAGATCATACTGAATGTAACGTGATAATGGCATCACAAGTGTCTTCATATGGGAAACGCATTAGATTATTCACTTTTTTTTCCAGAGTGACTGTATGCAACCCACTTTTTAAAAATTTTTTTACGTAAGTTTTATTTTATTTTCATCATGTTAGGTGTACTCTTAAATCTCCATCACCTATTTCACCCATTCCCCCACCCAGCTCCCTTCTGGCAACCACCAGTTTGTTCTCTATAGTTAAGAGTCTTTTTCTTGATAGCAGGAGGGGAAGAATGAAGGGGGGGACATCGGAGGGGGAGACGAACCATGAGAGACGATGGACTCTGAAAAACAAACTGAGGGTTCTAGAGGGGAGGGGCATGGGGGGGGATGGGTTAGCCGGTGATGGGTATTAAAGAGGGCACATTCTGCATGGAGCACTGGGTGTTATGCACAAACAGTCATGGAACACTACATCAAAAACTAATGATGTAATATATGGTGATTAACATAACAATAAAAAAATTTTTTAAAAAGAGTCTTTTTCTTGGTTTGTCTCTCCTCTCTCTCTCTCTTTTTTTCCTTTGTTCATTTGTTTTGTTCCTTAAATTCCACATATGAATGAGATCATATGGTATCTGTCTTTCTCTTATGACTTAGCATTATATTCTCTAGCTCCATCCATGTTGTTGCAAATGGCAAGCTTTCATTCTTTTTATGGCTGAGTAATATTCCATTGTGTATATATACCACACCTTCTTAATCCATTCATCTGTCAATGGACACTTGGTCTGCTTCGATAATTTGGCTATTGTAAATAATGCTACAATAAACATAGAGGTGCATGTATCCCTTTGAAATAGAGTTTTTGTATTTTTTGGGTAAATACCCAGTAGTGTGATTACTAGATTGTAGGGTAGTTCTATTTTTAATTTTTTGAGGAACCTCATTACTGTTTTCCAGAGTAGCTGCACCAGATCACATTCCCACCAATGGTGCAGGAGGGTTCCATTTTCTCCACATCCTTACTGACACTTGTTGTTTCTGTGTTGTTAATTTTAGCCATTCTGACAGGTGTGAGGTGATATCTCATTGTAGTTTTGGTTTGCATTTCCCTGATGATAAGTGATGTTGAGCATCTTTTCATGTGTCTATTGGCCATCTGGATGTCTTCTTTGAAGAAATGTCTGTTCGTGTCTTCTGCCATTTTTAATAGGATTATTTGGTTTGGGGTGTTGAGTGGTATCAGTTCTTTATATATTTGGGATACTAATCCTTTACTGGATATGTCATTTGCAAATATCTTCTCCCATTCAGTTGGTTGCCTTTTAGCTTTGTTGATTGTTTCCTTCACAGTGCAGCTTTTCATCTTGATGTAGTCCCAATAGTCTATTTTTGCTCTGTTTCCCCTGCTTCAGGAGGCATATCTAGAAAAATTTGCTACAGCCAATGTAAGAGAAATTACTGCTGTGCTCTCTTCAAGGATTTTTATGGTTTAAGGTCTCACATTTAGATCTTTAATCCAGTGATCCAGTTTCACTCTTTGGCATGTAGCTGTCCAGTTTGCCCAACGCTATTTGTTGAAGAGAATGTCTTTCCCATTGCATATTCATTCCTCTTTTGTCGAAGATTAATTGACCATAAAACTGTGTGTTTATTTCTGGCTTTTCTATTCTATTCCATTGATCTATGTGTCCATTTTTTTGCCAGTATCATACTGTTTTAATTACTACCACTTTATAATATAACTTGAAACCTGGAATTGTGATGCCTCTAGTTTTGTTTTTCTTTTTTAAAATTCACTTTTAACGTGTGTAACTTACTGTACATTGATCATATCTCAGCCACTTTTTCATTTGTTTTTCATTATTTATACAATTTCCCACTAGTAAAATTTGTTTTAAATAGTTCATAAGAAGATAGCAGTATGTCCTGAGCTTTGGAGGCAGACTGCCTGGACTTGTATCAGAGGTCCACCAGTCAGCGGCTGTGCTGCCCGTGGCAACTTGTTTGATTTCTCTGTGCTTCATTTAAATTGTTAGAGATGTAAATACAGTAGTGCCTGTGGGTCAGTGCATGCAAAGTGCTTTAAAACTGTGCTTGGCAATGGTATAAGCACTTTATAAATACTGTCTGGTGCTATTGTCATTAATCTAACTGAAGAAAAGGAAGCTCTTGGGAATTCAAATGGTACCCAATACTGATCCTGTTGCGGTGCTTATTTTCTGCGTGGACTTCAGATAGACTGGGACCTCTTAAGGAGCAGCTTAGATTATTCCCTGGACTTGGATTAGAGATCCCTGGCTCTGTGTGACTCAGACACAGCATTTCCCTGCTGGCCTCAGTGTTTGAATTCCCTCAGGTAGCTAGAAGGGTGGTGATGCTGTTTCCAGGAGAGAAGCAGGTTTTAGAGAAAAGACGATGAGTGTCCTCTAAGGCCTGCTGGCCCGTGAGGCATTTGGATGGAGGGGCCTGGAACTCAGGAGATTAATCTGAGCTGGAGGGAGAGACTTGGGGGATGTCAGGCATGGGTGAGCCCCCCAGGGTGAGTGGACAAGGAGGGTGCCCTGCAGGGGATCTTCCCTCAGGGGGAGCTGGAGGGAACTGGGTGCGTTGGGAGCCTGCTGTGGGGGTGAAGGGGCTGAGAAATCCAGCCATCCAGCCAGGATATATCCAGTGTGGTCTCACCAAGCTTAAGCCAGGTTTGTGCCTGATCGGCTACAAACAGAAGTGGGAGAGAGAACATGCAGAGAGAGAAAGGAAGGAAGTTTCAGAGGATCAGTTGGTTACTTCCCTCCTGACATTTGTAATAATCCACAGAAAATGTGAGGGAAAAGTGCAAGAAGTGGGCTACTTGCCCTGGGCTGCTGAGAGCCCTGGTAGGATCGGGGGTTGTTCTTGTCTCCTGCACCCTGGGCCCTGGCTGGTCTTAGAGCCTGGGTCATACTCTGGGGAAGGGAGTAGGAGTGCTTCTAGAGCACTGTGCTAGGTTCTTTGTACCATCACAAAGTTGTCTGGACAAACCTGTAAGGTAGTGTCATAACATTTTAGCTCTTAGGGCATAGAGTCAGACGTCCGGGTCTGATGCTGTCTCCCCACTTACTAGCTCTGTGGCTTTGGCTACTTATCCTTTCTGAATCTCTGTTCTCTTCCGTGTACAATGGAGGTGATACTAAGTCTCACTTCACTGGGCTCTTGTGAGGATTGAATGAGTTGAGTGACTAGTGTCATCTTAGTGCCTGACCCATGGAAGGGCCCAGTCACTGTCTGTTGTGGACATGTTCTTCATCCTCATTGCAGATCAGGAAACCCAGGCTCAGGGAGGTTAAATGGCTTGCCCAAGGTTATCTTTCCAGAGCAAGTCTTTATGACCACTTCCCTGACACTAACCAGGCCTTTCAGACTTAGAGCTAATCCTACCCAGAAAATGACCTATGATCTGCTCCATACAAGGTCAATAAATTTATGAAGTGGAGATACCTCTTCCAGTGTAATAGTTTGGCTGGTAGTGGCCCACTGGGTTGTGTCAGTAGTGAGTGAGCACCCTGTCCCCAGAGGAGATGTGTGCTAGAGCTTAGGAGGCCCTTTGCTACCCTGGAGTTGGGGTTTCTATACCCTCCCCTACCCCAGGGATGACTGCTTGTGAGCCCCTGGCATTAGGGAGGCTGTACTTCCTGGGCAAGAGGAAGCAGAGGCAGCAAAGATGGTCACCCCATGCAGCCAGCACCTCTAGTATAAGAATGTGTTCCTCTCCAGCTGTGTGCCTGTGATTTGTGAGATCCATTAACAGGGCTCAGCACAGGATCCAGCACAAAGAGGTACTCAGTAAGTAGTGCTCTTCATGACCACCATTTTCTTTTTCAT